GGGGTCAACAAGCAGAGCTGACTGCCGCTTTAGGTGAGGGGGGGGACCGCTCCCACCCTTTAATGCCTGCGCAGGGCATCGTTAGCAGTTCAATACAATGCTCGGGGTCTAATAAGACTTTTGCTGAGTCACCCAGAAGTGGTTATATTATGCCTGCTATAGCTGGTAGGAAAATGATTCATCATTAAAATAGTCAAAGCAAAAAAAAGTGCTTTGAACTTAGCTGAATTTTCCAGGAACTGAAACCTTACCCCTTCTACAAGGGTGGAAAAATGAACCATTACTATAAGTCTCTAATGCCTTTATTATAGGAAACAATCAAGTCATAAACCTTTACTGCTATCAATTTATTACCAAACCCCGGAGCTAAAGGAGTCCTGACTGAGAGGTCCTGCAGCTGAATAAGAGCCGACGCAATGGAAGCAGAGTAACGGCGATGTGAATACTTACAGGGACTGACATCTCTGTACCTGTTTCGGTTTTTGTTCTTAGGAAGCTTGGCCACTCTACATGGGAAGTCACTGGCTTCGTGTCGGATATCCTACAAAAAAAGGATAAAGAGTTCTCTCTTGAAATCTCTGGCATCAGGAATTCATCTAGATAGTTAACTGAGCGTGGGCCCTGTGCCGGGCACTGAGGAAGACGCAGCACAGAAACGGACATCAAAGGGAGCCACGCAGTGTGGGAAATGCAAGGTGCTAATTCAGAGGCATGTCCAAGGTCATGGGAGGAAAAGAGTAGGACAACTGGGGTGGGAGGAAGTGGCATGGGGCTGGGAGCTGGAAAGATGTGGAAGAGGGCAGGAAGATGGGGCGGGGTGGGCACGTTTCACTCAGGAACACCCAGCACAGCAAAGGCACGGGGGCTGGAGTTCACGTCTTATGCAGGAACAGTGAGTGGGCCGGTGGGACGAACAACAGGCCTGGGGCACACAGGTGGGTACAGGCCAGATCTTGGAGAGCCTTCCAAGTCAGGCCTGGGAGTTCCATCTGTAACCTTTTGTAAAGCTACAGTTATCAAGAGCAGATAAAATGCCCTTTTACGCCAACGAACTATCCAAATGCTTTCCTAGGAGATGGTAAACAAATCCCATTATACCAAACTGTCAGAAAGAGCAAGTGCCTGGACTAACAGAAGATGCACATTATGCGTCCTGCTAGATGGATCACACACATCTAATTTTGCTCCCCTAAATCAACACCCCTATAATCCTATTTAAAAGTCTTTTCCTTTAAGTCTGTATTTTACTATATATTATTAAAAGAAAAGCTCATCCAACAATGTGAATATACTTAATGCCACTAAAATGTACACCTAAAAATGGTTACAATGGTAAATTGTATGTTATGCATAGTCTATTACAACTTAAAAAAAAAAAAAAAGAAAGACGAACCCACAGTGAGAGAACAGGAGAGCAGATAATAGCAACACTATTTTGGAAGCTGGAAATCAGACTGATTAGTGGTTGGCAGGCCTGAGAAAGCTCAATTACAAGCCAGCAGTGGGGAAAGCAGAGAACCATCATGATTTCCACCACAGAACCTTCCAAAGGCGCAGAAAGTGTGCTTCTCTGGAAGGAGGGGTGGGATCCACTGCAGGGGAGCGGGGCAGAGCTGCCTGAGGGGAGCAGCATCTCCACTCCCACCGCCCCCTTCCGTGCTGCTGGGTGACTGCTGCCTCACAACTCTGCAGAAATCTGGAGATTTATTTTCTGGAAGATGTAAATCAGGGGGCAGAGTGCTCTCTAGATGATCTGAGCAGACAAAAGGAAAGACCAAGAGATGCCATTACGGGGGTATGGAAGTAACAGCCTACCTGCACCTAGAGGCCCAGTGGCTAGATCTGTGCTGATAAGCCTCTTACACCTGCTCAGAGCTCGCTGTGGACCCTGTAAGCCCCTATTCTTCATCATGCACATACCACTGATTACAAGATGTCAGAGGAGAGAAAGCCTCTGATACAAAAGAGATTTAAAAGAAAAACAAAACAGGCAAAAAAAGCCCCTTAGAGGAAATAAACTGCAGAGAAATGAAAGCTTAAAAAATATATATTATTAATATACTCAGATAAGATACTGTATCCATGGATTAAGAACAGGATGTTGTATACAATGTCTCTTGCAACTTAAAATCAAGATGGCAGAAATGATAAGCTTAACTGAAGAGTGATAAGATAAAGGTAGAAGAAATCCTACCTTTCCAGAAGGCAAAGCCTAAATAAATAAATAAATAACAATGGAAAATTAAGCAAAACAAAATAAAAGAATACATTAAAAAATAGTTCAAGGAAATCTCCCAGACACATCAAGTGCTCATCAAAATGATAAAAACAGACCCATACTGAGACACACTAATTTGCAATTCCAGAATCCTGCAGACAAAAAGAACATTCTGTAAGTTCCCAGGGAGAAAAAATAGTTCACTTTCAAAAGATAAGGTGATCAGATTCTGCAAGAACACTGAAAGCTGAAGGGCAATGGCGCAATGCCTTCAAAATTCTGAAGAAAAATCATGTCCAACTTAGAATTCTATACACAGCCCAATAATCAACAAGTGAGAAGAGACAAGAAAAATATTTCAGATATGCAAGGTCTCAAAAACTTTACCACCCCTGCTCCCTTGCTGCAGCAATCCACTGGAGCATGTCTTCCACCTGGGTGAGGAAATAAACCAAGAAAGAGAAAGATGTAAGATATACAGGACAGGGGTCGGGGGGAAGGATCCAACACAAGAGCAAAGGCACAGGAAATTTCCACAAAAGCTGTGACGGGGGAGGCCCCAGGATGACAACTATGTACCAGCCCTAGGAGGCAAGCAGCCAGATTGGCTCAGAATGACTCAAGAGACAGACGAGTCAACAACGTGCCTTTGTCCCCTGTACGAACTGTGACCGAACGAGACCACCAAAGGGAAATGAGAAGACCTGAAGTCCAGAAAACAGGGAATCCAATTGAGAAGCAAAGCAAAGACATCTCAAAATGGTAGCTGTGTAGCAGCCTACAGACCCAGCGGCCCAGACCAAAGAACAGAGGTCCCCGTAGGGACGCCTCCAAGACCAAATCTGAAGCTGAGGAATCACCTGAAACTGCTCTGTCCACAACAGCAGCCCGGCAGCCACGAGCCACACGCGGCTATTGAGAGCACTTGAGATGCAGCCAGCCTGAAAAGAGATGTTGCACAAGTGTAAAAATACACATTGGATTTTGATGACTTAGTGCTAAAAAAAGAAAGTAAGGTATTTCAGATATTTGAAATACTGACTATTGGTTGAAATAACGTTTTGAACATATTGGATTATGCAAACTATACTACTACTTTCATCTGCTTCCTTTTATCTTTCTTACTGTGGCTACTAGAAAAAGCAGAATTACACATATGGGTTGCACTGTATTTCTATTGCATAGCACTGACTGAGCTTGTGGAAAATTGTTCTGAGAGGCTATCAGAAGCTACGGGAAGAATTAGCAACAGGTAGAAAGAAAACTCTACAGATGGAAAACAAGGCAGGAAAGTATTAATTACAGGAAAATCTATTAAAAAGGAAACAGTACAGTACAACACTGTATCTGTGACTATGTGCATAGGCAAATAATGTACACAATGAATATGGTTTTAACCAAATAGTATAACATACTGGGAGAATGGGGGAGGGGAAGCAAAGTGGGAAAGCAGAAGGAATGGCTGTTTAAGAAAATGAAATCCTATACCTTAGTAAAGATCTAAATCAATGAATCCAAAGATAAGCATTTTCCTTAGAAATACGGAAATAAATACAAGCTAGAGTCAGCAGCTCAAAGAGTTCAAAATAGTCATCCATGAAGAGAAAGACTGGGGAAAAGGGAGGTACAGGCAGCAAGTAACTGGATTTTATTATAAGCTTATCATGGTATTATTTAAGTTCTTAAACCATGTATACATTCAACTTGGATTTAAAAAAAAAAGAATGCACACATTCTGCTATTCTACTTATTAAAAAAACTACAAAATGACAAGGAGCTTTTGACTCATACTAGAAATGAGATAATAATTTAAAGCTATGATGTTATATTATAAACCCACTTGGGATTAAACAAATTAGTCCAGTAGTAACTTAGCCATCACATCATTTATGGATGAGATTAAGCTTTCAGGGAAATGCTACACAACACAGAAAAATGACTTGAAGGAAAATAAATCTCAGTTTTAAATTTCTTATTCTACTTGTTATTTGGAAGTGTTTAGCAAAAGGTACGAATTTTGCCTTGTGATGTGAAACAATCTGATCAGTCCAGCTGGTGTGACTGGATGAAGATGGAAGAAATCACTGACATGGATAAACCACTGAACTAACAAGTATTCATTCTGAGGAAATAAGGGCCAAAATAGCAACAACAGTGTGCAATTGATTTTATTCAGCCAAAGGATTTATTAATCTGTACTTTTTTGGTGAGAGAGAACACAGCAAAACTTGGAGATACCTCATAAAAATAGGAGTTATTCACAATACTTTTAAAAAAAGAGATTCTAAAATTAAGGTATACTCATAGAGCAAAATGCACAGATCTTAAGTATGTATTTCAATTAGTTTTTCTGACCAGCTTTGAGGTATAATTTACAAATAATAAAATATACCCAGTTTAAGTGTTTCTCTATTTTAGAATGGCATATAGGAAATATATGCATGCTTTGAATACAAGTGTTTACATTTCATTCAGTAAAATAAAATGCCAGGATTAGAGTCTTAAAATTGAGGAGTGATAAAGTACCTTTAAAATTAAAAGTAACTACCAATAGTGGTTTAGAAGAAAGCAGATAAACTACTGTACCACAAGACTTTACAGAACTACAGCAAAACAAGATTTCTGTGTTCTAAAACTGTATCAAAGGTAAGCTAACCTTCTAACTGCTATAGAAAAAGCAGATCCCTGACTAATGAACAAGTTTAAGGAGACTTTCATCCCAAGCATGAAGTATCCCTAGAAGATCTTGGATTACTCTGACCAAAGAATGATGAAATAATCCACCAAAGTATGTAAAATTTCCACACACAGAATAAAATAAAGGCCTTAAAGCTGATGATGAAAAGATGAACGCTGGGTAAACTGAGGAGCCAAGCCAAAAAGGAAACAATAAACTTGCCATGAAACATATTCCCAGAAGCATCCCCTAAAAAATACCCACTGATCGTTTCAAGAATCATTCAAAGTGTACCTCATAATTTCAGGGATGGGATCACACTAACTTAGAAATTTTACCAGTGGGAAATTAAATATACCAACAAATAGATAACCTATCCATTTCCTTCCCTCGGACAGTTATTTACTGGCTTTTTAGAAGCTTACTTCCTATTCTTAGTGTAGGTTTCAGAAATGTCATAGAATGAAACATCATATGTAATGGACGTCAAACGTTCATGCTCTCTTGCAGAATAAATCTGATGATGTGTTACCGAAGCAGAGCTCAAGTTTGGTCAAAGCTTACAGGCAAATGGTTTAAATTACACTGTATCATTTTATATAGGCACTGGGCACCCAAAATGATCTGACTCATCTCTATAGTGAAC